CAAAAAATGCTATTTTTAATTCATAATTTTAATCAATTACTGTTATTATTTCATTTCATTTTTTTTTTCGAATAATTTTAAAAACTTCCAAAGCATATCAACAAATAAAAGTAGAAATTGATTTTATTAATTGTATTTAGCAAAATTTCTCGAAAGAAAAAGAGTACGCCGTCAAATCTAAGCACAGTCATATACAATTGTTGATTATAAATGCAAAATAATATAGGCCATTTGACAATTGTATGTTGTACGAAAACTTGGATATTTCTTGCAAGATTCAATCTTTCTTGTTTATCTGAAAAATTTCAAAGTCTCAAATTAGTTCAAATAATAATTAAACATTAAACAAATGTTGTTTGTTTTGTTTAGAAAAAAAATGTTGCTTAATTAAGCAGTTAATTTTTTCTATTACTTAGATAGGATTATGAAAAAGGAAAGATGTTGTTGTTGTTGTTGTACTGAAAAAAATAAAAAAGAAAAACTTTGGGAAGAAAAAACATTCAAACAAATTGATCATTGATTGAATTAATTAATCTTCTTTTTATTATTTATTAACTCATCATAATTCTTTCACTTATACATCCTATCAAATCTCTCTTCTCTCTGCCTCACGATATGTCTTAATTAGCCATATCTTATCACTAATCACTAATTCATACTGGATGATAATTTTTATTTCTTGTTTGCCATTAATTATTGCAAAGTGCATAAAAACAATGATAAAAGATTAGTAATTAAGTAATTTGGATTGCTAAATACAGTTAATAAAACCAATTTGTATTCTCAAATTCTGCTAATTTTTTCACTCGAATACAAACTTTTACTTGCTTACTCGAATACAAACTATTCAATTCATCAATGATCATTGAATTTGTTAATATCTGTAACTTCTTTCTATTTATAAATATTTGCTGTCAATAATTTTCATTTTTGAAAGTACTAATAAATAAATTTACCAAATCTCTTTTAGCAAGTTCGGATACTGCACAGTAAACTCTGACGATAACATATACTTCCATAAATATTGATAACGAATTCCATACTGCAAACAACTAGTCGAATTGATAATATCAGCTATAAATAAAAAAGCATGCAATTAATAAGTGGTAAAGTTAAGAGAAAGCATGCAATAAGTGAAAATAAATGTAGAAGTAGTCTAAAAAAAATGCATGCATTAATATTAACAAAAACGAACTAAGCAGTTAGAAAGAAAGTGATCAAAGTTAACAAAAAAGCATGCTTTAATATTAACAAAAATGAACTAAATAGTTAAAAAAAAAGGTCATCAAAGTGGATAAGAAGCATGCAGTGAGTAAAGTTAGCCAAAATTCATGCAAAAATAAAATAAAAAAGCATGCAAAGTAAAAAAAAGGGTAATCAAAGTGAATAAGCATGCAGTTAATAACATTAAAATTAACAAAAAAGCATGCAATTAATAAATAGTAAAGTTAACAGAAAGCATGCAGTAAGTAAAGTTAGCCAAAATTCATGCAAAAATAAAATAAATAAAAAAGCACGGAATTAATAAACATTAAAGCTAGCAAAAGAACATGCAATTAATAAATAGTAATGTTAACAGAAAACAAATGGAGATGGAATCTTAAAAAATAAAATGAAAAAGCATTAATATTAACAATAGTGGACTAAGTGGCTAAAAAAAAGTTGATCAAAATCAACAAAAAGCAGCATGCAGTGAGTAAAGTTAGTCAAATTCAAGCAAAAACGAAATTAATAAAAAAAGCATGCAAGAACAAAAAAGCATTTGAAGATTATTGTTGTTGGAGGTAGTAAAATTAACAAAAAATCATGCAGTTAATACAACAACAAAAAAAGAAATTATTAATATAAGCTAGTAAGATACTAGTACATAATTTTAATTAACTAAAAAAGCATGCAATTAGTGAAACTACAACAAATGTAAATCACTATCTTAGTAAAATATAAAGTATTATACAGTAAAAAGTTAGCGAAAAGCATGCATTAAGAACAAATGAGGAATAAATGCGAAAAGAAGGTAAAAAAAAAACTAAAACAAAACCTATAAAAAATGAACGGAGGCATCTAAAACTACAATAAAATTTATAAAAAAATATGTTACTAGTTAAAACTAAAAAAATGCAGCATGCTTTTTAATAATAAATCCAAAATTATATTTAAAGATCTAAAAATTCAAAAACAATTCCAGTAAGAAATTTAAAAAAATAAAAAATATAAAAGATAAAAAAAAAAAATCAAAATTAAAACAAATAATTCAACCTTTAAATAAACCTCCCAAAAGTCGATAATTCAGATTAACTTCAATAATTTTCAAGATAATTCAAAAATTAAAAAGTTGAAAAGGGAATAGCAAATTAGGAAAATGAAAAAGAATATAAAAACCCACAAATTTTTAAAAATTTAAAAAATCAGAAAAAAACTAAAATTTAAATAACTCAGAAATTTTCAAAACTCAACGAGAACAAAAATAAATCCCTAGAGAAGTTTCAAAATTTCTTAAAAATCTCAGACTCTTCCAATTTTAAAATTATTCAATTAGTAATAAAAGATATCTAGAATTTAAAAGCCAATTCAAAAAGCTTCACGATTTAAGAATTTAAAATTTCTTTCAGAATTTCAAATGCTCTAAAATTTTCCTCACATACTAACTCATAAGTTACATCGAGGGTAGGTATAACTCTATCTATATCTCGATCTCTTCTACCACAAAATAACTTATTGGATACCAAATGGCAATTCAACAAAAAAAATTAAACCTAGACATTATCAAATTATTCAATGATACCACTATTTTCTAATTCGATAATTCAAAAATCAGGTTAAAAAATTGACAAAAATTGATATTTTTCCTGAAATTAATTTCTCGATTATATTTTGGAAAATTTCGCACAATTTCATCTTTTTTAAGTCATCAAATACCCTACAATTTTTTTTTAACCCAGTTCCAATTTAAGAAAAAAAAAAAGTTGAAAAAATCATTTATGAGAATCATTTAAAACATTTCCTACTGAAGTAATACCATCTCGCGCTCGGAGAATATATGCAAATATCTTATCTTACTTAATTTGCACGAAAACTCGGTGTATGCATTCAACCCAATTGCCCTTCACAGGGAATATCTCTCGATCTCTAGCACATCCCAATCTGATATCAGTCGTCATACTATGCTGGTTGCCACTATCTTCACGTCCACAGTTCTTATGTATCCTTTTTTTATTTATTATTAAGTTATGGTTGTATTAAGAATCTTTTTGTTTCGATTACATGCCTGAATATCATTTGGTTATTTCCAACGAATCGTTTTTTTTTTTTTTTTTTTTTTTGAGGTATGTTGTTTAATAAAAATGCATTGATTCAAGCTAATCAGCCATTTATTGTTTTTAATTGCTATTAATAGAATTAGCAATTTCTTATTGTTGTGATACCAATTCATTTGAATCATTTTGCAGTAATTATGTATTACCACTTTTCATCGTTAGTTATTAATATATTAATTCTGTTTGATTTCTGTTTTGATTAAAAATTCTGCTATAATTGTTTGAAATTGTTGAAGTTAATAAAATGTTAATAGTGACACAATTTCACCACGTATATAATTTTTGGACTACACATAGGACTATGTTTAGTTATTAGGCTTCTGTTATGCTTGCTAATATGCATTCTACTGGACATCTGTGATTTTAAAAGTTTTTTAATGTGACTTTATAAATTTTGACTGCTTACATAGCTGTGAGATCGACAGGAGACGTTGAATGGTGAGTGTTTTAGTTAAGAAAAATTTCCAAAAATAATAGCAATTGTGTTTTTTAACGATATGCGTATAAAATTAATACTCCATATAACAATGGAAAGCTCATCTAAAAGAATCGCAAACTAATTTTCCAAGTTCAAATATTTTTGCCGCGTTCTCGCTTTCGAATTCGCTTTTACCGCGCGCACTTCCTAGCGAATTTCTATTTTTACCACATTTTCCTAAGTATGTCTGTCACTCGCACTTATCAACGAATTTCTATTTTTGCCCTCCCAAATTTCTATTTCTGCAAGCACAAAATATTATGGAGCAACATTATGATTCAATATTCTGAGGAAGAATTTTACTTGCCCAGTTTCTTTTTTTTTTCTTTTTTTTGATAGCTTTCTAAAAATTATCCTTCAGCTCTAATGAAATAATCGAATTTCCATTATTAATTCCATCATTTCTTTTTTTTTTTTTTTTTTTTTTTTGATAGCTTTCAGATAAATTCACAAACGATTTCATCGCAACTAGATGAAATCATTTGTAGCTTAAGAAGTGATAGTGTAAGGCTCATGTATGATATAGCAGACCAACAAGACTCCCATACCATGACAAAAATTCATCTGATGTGACAAAAACTCGTCTGCTAAAAATTATTCTTCAGCACTAATGAAATAATCGAATTTCCATTACTAATTGTTGTGGCGGTTATTATTTCATAACAGCCACAAACTATTTCTGTATTCTCATTTATATTTATTCAATTAAAAAGAGACAGAACAATCTTGCAAATGCATTACACTATTTCACTACTACCATTATGATCCCAAGCAAAAATCATTTACATGAAAGTTGCATCATTTAAGACACATATGGAGTCTGAATATCTTTGACTAATTGGAAAAAATAAATAATACAGAGTGTTTCCTCAACTCTATAGAGCAACCGATGTTTTCTTGTTTCTCAAACATATTGCCTATACATTCGCAAAACTTCTGCTCAAAAATGACATAAAATGTGATAGTGAAAAGTTACTAGAACTATAGTTTCACATCGATCACCGTTACTCTGTCAATTCTAGAAAAATTCCTTAATGGACATAAGACGATTACCTTCTTTTCTTTGAAACTATCTTTTTGATGCCCATAGAAAAAATAATACACACCAACATTAAGACGTTCAAGATACAAATGAAATCTATGAACAGGATGCGCTTGTAACGAGACAAATCATCTCAATGATTCCATATAACTTCTTTCTTCTAGTTCTAGTATGAAGGGCCTAAAATAGAAAAAATCATCCGAATAAAAATGAACTCCGAATCATTTTGATACATTTTTAAAATGACTACAGTTTGTTTTGCTTGTAAAATTAAGTTGGTAATACCTGATTCATCGTCGTTTATCTGAAGGTATCGATCTTCTTCTTCTTTTCTTTTGGTTGAGACTGAAATCTGCTGGATGAATTGTTTCCACTCTGTATTGACCGATTCCAACGCCTCTATGTATATTTGGATATGCATGATTTTTTCTTGGGTGATCCTTCTCCGTTCCTGATGAAGACGGATTGTTTCGTCGGTTGTTGTCATTTGGTCGACCGAATCCAAGTTCAGACGCTTGATTTCGTTGAGGACTTCACACAATCTTCGTTTTGTTTGGTCTGCGATTCTGATGATGATGGATGACATGTTCCCGGCTCGTGGCACCATAAATTTGTTGTGAATGTATTGGATTGGATTGGTTTACTTGCACTATTGAGTCGAGTGGTCAATCTTGGGTAATTAAACCAAACAAGCAATCAGTAGTAGGACAATTTAGTGAGGAGGATGAGCTAAGCAACGGGGAGACTGGGAACAATGCCTTTTTTTTTTTTTTTTTTCTTATTCCCAATTAAACATTTTAACATTGAATTCAAATAAAATATTCATAGTGGAGTGCACTCAAAATTCCAGAGGATCTATATTGATATTTAAGCACTTGAAAGACCTTATGATCATTTGGAAGTATTGCAAACTCATCAATTCCCAGAATTTTAGCTGTAGCTATAAAGTCGTCTTCAGGTTTTTTAATTTCATTTCTCCAACTGATGTACACGGTGCTTCCAGTAGCACTTTTCATGGCTAAAGAATCAGGAATGCTTGAGAGAATGTTCCGAATCTTATTTTGAAGCATATAAAACTCTTATCGTTGAGATGTTGTCATTTTTGCTTCTTCAAATGCCGTAGTGGTAGTTAAAGCAGATTTGATATCTGGGTTTGAGGATTCAGATGATGGGGAGGATGCTAGTTGATTGATTCTTTTGATTTTGTATTCAATGTTGTTTTCTTCAAACATGACTTCCTCAACAGTCAGCACTTTGAGTTCTTCTAATTGTCGGAAAATATCATTGACTAAGTCCGCACAATCTTTTGATGAACTCAAACTTGGTGGAATATGTATATTGATTGGAATTGGTTTTTTTGTTGAGGAGTGGGTGGAGGTTTTTTTTATGTTCAGGTGGAGGTTTTTGTTTTGCTGAATGTATAACCTTTTTAGGACTGGGCTTAAATCTTGGAGGAGAATCAAAAGTTTCCGGGTCAATTAAAAGCGAATCCTCTAGATCATCTACACCTGATCTTTGTTGTTCCTTTATGATATCCGCTCTGAGTAATTCGTTCTGTTTTTTTGTCCATTCCCCTAATTCATAGAGTTTGGATTTTTCAAAATATTCACTTGAATCTTCTTGGCTCATTTTGATTCCGAGTGATTTGTGTTCGGATCCTTTTTGCCGAATGAAGCGATGTTTAATTTCCCTTCATCTGTTTCGTTAAGCATTAGTTGTTTGGCTAAGTTTTTTGAAACAAAGGATAATTGTGATCCAACGTCGAATAGGGCTAAGGCCCTTTGTTGAGTATTTGGATTAGTTGGGTTGAACACATTTATCTGCTTGCATAAGAGTAGGATGCGCTTGTCACGTTTCTTCTCTTTTTCAACTATTATATTTGTCGTGGTAGTGGAGTCTGGATCCTCTGGTTTATTGGGCATTTCCTTGAATTTGTTAGGGCACAGCGCGGAATTGTGTTGACCCTTGCAGTGGAAGCAATTCCTAATGCTTAACGAAACAGATGAAGGGAAATTAAACATCGCTTCATTCGGCAAAAAGGATCCGAACACAAATCACTCGGAATCAAAATGAGCCAAGAAGATTCAAGTGAATATTTTGAAAAATCCAAACTCTATGAATTAGGGGAATGGACAAAAAAACAGAACGAATTACTCAGAGCGGATATCATAAAGGAACAACAAAGATCAGGTGTAGATGATCTAGAGGATTCGCTTTTAATTGACCCGGAAACTTTTGATTCTCCTCCAAGATTTAAGCCCAGTCCTAAAAAGGTTATACATTCAGCAAAACAAAAACCTCCACCTGAACATAAAAAAAACCTCCACCCACTCCTCAACAAAAAAACCAATTCCAATCAATATACATATTCCACCAAGTTTGAGTTCATCAAAAGATTGTGCGGACTTAGTCAATGATATTTTCCGACAATTAGAAGAACTCAAAGTGCTGACTGTTGAGGAAGTCATGTTTGAAGAAAACAACATTGAATACAAAATCAAAAGAATCAATCAACTAGCATCCTCCCCATCATCTGAATCCTCAAACCCAGATATCAAATCTGCTTTAACTACCACTACGGCATTTGAAGAAGCAAAAATGACAACATCTCAACGATAAGAGTTTTATATGCTTCAAAATAAGATTCGGAACATTCTCTCAAGCATTCCTGATTCTTTAGCCATGAAAAGTGCTACTGGAAGCACCGTGTACATCAGTTGGAGAAATGAAATTAAAAAACCTGAAGACGACTTTATAGCTACAGCTAAAATTCTGGGAATTGATGAGTTTGCAATACTTCCAAATGATCATAAGGTCTTTCAAGTGCTTAAATATCAATATAGATCCTCTGGAATTTTGAGTGCACTCCACTATGAATATTTTATTTGAATTCAATGTTAAAATGTTTAATTGGGAATAAGAAAAAAAAAAAAAAAAAAAGGCATTGTTCCCAGTCTCCCCGTTGCTTAGCTCATCCTCCTCACTAAATTGTCCTACTACTGATTGCTTGTTTGGTTTAATTACCCAAGATTGACCACTCGACTCAATAGTGCAAGTAAACCAATCCAATCCAATACATTCACAACAACTAGTCGAATTGATGACAAGCTAACCAAGCTTATAGACATATCCTCATAAGTACCTTAAATATACCAAAAAAATGAACAGTTAAATTATCTACCCTTGTTATAGTCATTTTTATTATAGATGCCCGAAAGACCAGCTATTCGGAGCCCTGCAAATTGCACAACAGATGCATGCCCTAAATAGAAAATTTTTGGCGCGACCCATCCACCATAAGGTAATTCTTGAAGATAACCCGAAGCTTCATGATTCCCTCCATAAAAATCGTTAATACTGGTGCTTCCTAAAACAAAATAACAAGTAATACAAATCCAAACTTTTTTAGCAAAATTAGTCCAATTTTCTTTTTATTTAATACAACGTTTAGTATATGTTGAATAAAACAGTGTGCACAGAAACAACTACACCACTATAAAAGAAACTCAGGATGTAAAACGTAAACAATTGCCACATATAATTTTAAATAAATGCCACATAATTCAAACAACTCGATATACCTGCAACATTAATTACATGTGCCGTTGATACCACATTAATGTACCTATTAAGGATAGTTCATACTATTCTGTTAATACTATAAGGTACAATATAACTCATTTTTACCGCAAAATACAGCTTAATCTTACTGATTCGCCAGAATAATAACGATGAAAACTTTGCAAATGTCGATATTTCTCAGGTACATGCATATGCTTCAAATCACCATAGTTTCGAACTGCCTGCAAAAATAAATTAACTTTTTGAAAAATGAAATTAAAGATATATACTCTGCTGTCAGAGGAGTAGTATCAGAAAACAGTCCCCTCGAAAACTGGGAACAATTTCAAAGAACTAAAATTTCTCGATAAATCTATTGCCTTGATAACAATTGCTGATCATTTGTACTACCATATAACTACTTCTGAAGTCAAAAAAAATAGATCTGACAACCATTTCCTTAGCAATTCCTTAAAAACTTTGTACACTATCACATGATCCAGATAATTCGATATTTCAGTAAGACCAACCAAATATATATACTATTTATTTGCTGCTTCAAAAAAAGTTTCGTTAACACATCTGTCTAGCATTATTAAATAAAAACAACGCAAAAATAGAAAGAGTAACTGTTCTGTAATGGACACAACGTACTTCATAGTCACCGCAGCTAATGAGCAAATCGAATTTATAGCCTTCTCGTCGTTCGATCTCTGCCATTGTTGCATAAATTTTATCCATCTCACCATGCGAACAACCAGCAACCGCTGCAATATTAAATCTGCTACTTGCATCTCACAGCAAACACTATTGTAACAGCAATATTCAACAGCTTTGATTTAACTCCATATTTTCTTATAAGATATAATACTGACCGATATGAATCTTACGACTCAATTTTTGTCGTTTAACAGATTCGGCAACACTTGAATTTGAATTTGCTGAAGTGGACGGCTGCTCCTCAGATGAAGCCCAGTTGTCGTTTTGTTTATACTCATTTCCTTCATTTCCCATGCTGTCATCCATAATCAGTGTTTCAGATAAAAACAAACCAATCTAAATTATAAACAAATATAAGCACTCCCAATTTTACAGTACTTCCTGCTTTTGGAGCAGCAGAGAAATTCAGCATGATGTAATGATGGTAAGACTTAAAACAAAAAAAGCAAGATGATAAATGCATTCCCTTAAATCAAGTAGTTCAATAAATGAAGGAACAATTTAGCAGTTAGCATCACCAGCACCCTTTAAAAACCTTTAAATTTGATGCTTAGAAGTCGTACTATCATCAATGAAATTGTTACAGTGACCATTTGAACAAATGGAGAGAGTGAAAAACAAGTGGCTAATAGTGTTTTCCGACTTATTCACCAAACAAAACTAATTCATAAATCTCAATAAAAATCACGATAATTCGCACAAGAACTATGATTAAGGCATCTAGAACTACCAGATTAGCTGAGAAATTATCAGCTATTAAGAGAAATTGAAATGTTTGCTATAAGAATTAAATTAAGTTTTTGTCTTATTCCTTACTTATGATGGAAATAAGCAACTGACATCTACGTCTTCTTAACAGCAACGCCGAATAACCTCGCCTAAGCTAACCCTATTTCAACGAAAGCACCAATACCAGAAAAAAACATGTCAGATGACATTCAAAATTAACGAAGTCCTACTATGCAAACAATTAATCCGAACTCAAATAAATATTTTTCATTCACAAATAAGCAATCTGTCATTAACTTAAAATCAGGATAACATCATGAATCATTTCCAGATGGGATTGCATTGGCTATTTCATTTTGTTTCCTTATATAATTGGATTGCCTTTTCGATTTATTTCGGTGAATTTAGGCCTCAATTTGACCGTGCATCTAATCTACTCAAGTATTTATCTCTCCCTTATAAAATTGATTTAATCAGCAAAATCATTTCATCACATCTATCTATTTGACATATAAATTAATTTTAAAAATCATTCCTTAGAAAATAATTTTTTTTTTTTGCTTCATAATTTCTAGTATTTATTTTATCACTCATTTCAGAAAATACTTAAAGTAACTTACTTTCAGTTAATCAGAAGAAATAATTGATGTTATTACAATAAGGTCATGTGACACGATCATGTTAAACACCGTTTCACTCTTGATAGCTATAAAAATCCCTCGCTGCTTTGTCTCTAAATTTCTTCTTTTTTAAAACATTCAAAGAATAGACATGGAGTAATTTAACAAATGAAATAAGGATAGATATAAAATCTAAAAGTCAAACTACGTATCTCACATGATTCGATTGGAATGATTTATTTCACATTTCTTAAGTTAAACCAATCAACATTAATTCATTTCAAGCAATTAATAAATACTATCGGCAGTGAAGTTTTAAATGGAATAATCACTAATAATTTAAATATTCTTTTAACCTAATTTACTTTTGTTGACATTGAGGAGCACTACTGGTTCACCAAACATCATCACTATGTTTCACTATGCAACTTGCTTCACTGAAATTTATCGTGGATTCAGTTAATTAAAATCAGCATTTCAATAATTAACCAATTTTAATTCACTTTGTTCCACTTAATTAGTGTGTACCTCTTTTGAGGACTGCTAATGTCTTCAAGTTAATGCTAAGGTTTAAAAAGTTCAATTTCATATTTAAGTTCAATTTTTTAAAATTCCTACTACTAGTAATTTTGCTTTTTTTATTATTTTTTAAAATCAAAATTTACTTTCATTAATAATTGCTAATAAATAAATTTACCAAATCTCTTTTAGCAAGTTCGGATACTGCACAGTAAACTCTGACGATAACATATACTTCCATAAATACTGATAACGAATTCCATACTGCAAACAACTAGTCGAATTGATAATATCAGCTATAAATAAAAAAACATGCAATTAATAAGTGGTAAAGTTAAGAGAAAGCATGCAATAAGTGAAAGTAAATGTAGAAGTAGTCTAAAAAAAAATGCACACATTAATATTAACAAAAACGAACTAAGCAGTTAGAAAGAAAGTGATCAAAGTTAACAAAAAAGCATGCTTTAATATTAACAAAAATGAACTAAATAGTTAAAAAAAAAGGTCATCAAAGTGGATAAGAAACATGCAGTGAGTAAAGTTAGCCAAAATTCATGCAAAAATAAAATTAATAAAAAAGCATGCAAAATAAAAAAAAAGGTAATCAAACTGAATAAGCATGCAGTTAATAAACATTAAAATTAACAAAAAGCATGCAAAGTATAAAAAAGGTAATCAAAGTGAATAAGCATGCAGTTAATAAACATTAAAATTAATAAAAAAGCATGCAATTAATAAATAGTAAAGTTAACAGAAAGCATGCAGTAAGTAAAGTTAGCCAAAATTCATGCAAAAATAAAATAAATAAAAAAGCACGGAATTAATAAACATTGAAGTTAGCAAAAAAACATGCAATTAATAAATAGTAAAGTTAACAGAAAACAAATGGAGATGGAATCTTAAAAAATAAAATGAAAAAGCATTAATATTAACAATAGTGGACTAAGTGGCTAAAAAAAAGTTGATCAAAATCAACAAAAAGCAGCATGCAGTGAGTAAAGTTAGTTAAATTCAAGCAAAAACGAAATTAATAAAAAAAGCATGCAAGAACAAAAAAGCATTTGAAGATTATTGTTGTTAGAGGTAGTAAAATAAACAAAAAATCATGCAGTTAATACAACAACAAAAAAAGAAATTATTAATATAAGCTAGTAAGATACTATTACATAATTTTAATTAACTAAAAAAGCATGCAATTAGTGAAACTACAACAAGTGTAAATTACTGTCTTAGTAAAATATAAAGTATTATACAGTAAAAAGTTAGCGAAAAGCATGCATTAAGAACAAGTGAGGAATAAATGCGAAAAGAAGGTAAAAAAAAACTAAAACAGAACCTATAAAAAATGAATGGGGGAATCTAAAACTACAATAAAATTTATGAAAAAATATGCTACTAGTTAAAACTTAAAAAATGCAGCATGCTTTTTAATATTAAGTCCAAAATTATATTTAAAGATCTAAAAATTCAAAAACAATTCCAGTAAGAAATTTAAAAAAATAAAAATTATAAAAGATAAAAAAAAAATCAAAATTAAAACAAATAATTCAACCTTTAAATAAACCTCCCAAAAGTCGATAATTCAGATTAATTTCAATAATTTTCAAGATAATTCAAAAATTAAAAAGTTGAAAAGGGAATAGCAAATTGGGAAAATGAAAAAGATTATAAAAACCAACAAATTTTTAAAAATTTAAAAAAATCAGAAAAAAACTAAAATTTAAATAACTCAGAAATTTTCAAAACTCAACGAGAACAAAAAATAAATCCCTAGAGAAGTTTCAAAATTTCTTAAAAATCTCAGACTCTTCTAATTTTAAAATTATTCAATTAGTAATAAAAGATATCTAGAATTTAAAAGCCAATTCAAAAAGCTTCACGATTTAAGAATTTAAAATTTCTTTCAGAATTCCAAATGCTCCAAAATTTTCCTCACATACTAACTCATAAGTTACATCGAGGGTAGGTATAACTCTATCTATACCTACTCCCGATCTCTTCTACCACAAAATAACTTATTGGATACCAAATGGCAATTCAACAAAAAAAATTAAAACTAGACATTATCAAATTATTCAATGATACCACTATTTTCTAATTTGATAATTCAAAAAATCAGGTTAAATGTAGGAAATAGCTTCAAAAATTACTCAGTTCCAAAAAAATATGTTTAAATGTAAAATACTGCCATTAACTATCTAATATCTAATATGATATTAAAATATTCTAACAAGACAAAATAAACAAACATGATATTAGTAAACATAACCAACAAACTTATTAAAGAAACGCAAAATCAAATATGCACAACATTACGCATAATAAATTAGATGAAAAATGAAAAAAATAACAGAAAAATTAACAGAAAAGAATTAGATAACACTAAAATAAAAATGAAAACATACGTAGTAAAAAAGTATTAAAAATAACAGGTAAAATAATGTAAAATGTGAAAAATGGAAAAAAAATCCATAGATTATTTAAAAAAAAAAAGAAGCAAAATCATTAGTAATAACTAGAAAATTATTAAAAACATCAAAAATTTCATAATAATAGTTAAATTAGAAACAATAAAATGGAACAATAAACTTTTAAAAAAGTTAGTTGCCCAGAGAGGGCAGAAAAAATAGAACAAAACACAACAAAAAACTGATAAGGAAAAGACAACTGAATTCAATCAAGTTTGATATAAAGTAGCTATTTTCGAATTTTGTTCGCGAAAAAGAAATCCTTTTCACAAACTTTTTGATTCTCAAATACGACCATAAACAATTAATATTAACATATGCTAGCATAAAATGAATGAACTTTATGCTCATTTTTTCACTATTTTTTTTTCACAAAATTCACAATTTCTTACCAAACTCTGAATTCAGTTGTTTTAACATTGTAAATTATTATTAAAAACAAAATTTATTTCACTGATTTTTTCAATTTTTTATTTTTTTTGATTTTTTTAATTTTGTTAATTTTTTTTATTTTTTTCAATTTTTTTCGTTTTTTTATTTTTTTAGTTTTTTTGATTTTTTTTGTTTTTTTATTTTTTTTTGTTTTTGTTTTTTTTTTTTTATTTTATGCGTCGCCAGAACCGGAATATTAATCGTCCTCTCCTTCTGAAATAGTTTCAAATTTAGTTTAAATTATTCAGCAGATAAAATTAACAAAAAGTTAGCAATTATTCTAGTTATTACTTTGTTTACTACATGGTTACTACATTTATTTCAGAATTCAAAGCTTACAGGACGAGTTCGCGAACCGATTCGACCGGTTCTGCAACGGCATTTGGTGCCACCGGTGCCTCAGTTTCTTCGTTGCTTTCCGGCAGAGGAGCCCACTCTGCTTCCGTTGGCCAATTCTCGGCCTCATCAGCATCATTAGTTTCACGGAGAGGGGCCCACTCTGCCTCTTCTTCGTAAAGTACCTGCTCCTGAGGCACCGGTTCTTCTCCATCCTGCCCTTCGACCTCCGACCTCCTCTCCGTATCCTCCAAGCAGGTTAGGAGCAGGTCTTCAATCTGAAAAGACCACATTTTAAAAAAGTACTTTCTATAACTCTTCATATAAATTAGAAGTATAACTCTTTCTATAATCCTTAATTGATGACAAAAAGGAAAAATGAATTTACCTGCTCCCTTTTGCGCATATATTCCTGTAATGCTTGGAGCATTACAGGTTCACGCTCCAAATATGCCAGAACGTCGGAAATAGTCCGACGTTCTGGATTTTGGGCGACACGCGAGCCCACCCTATAAAATTATCAAATTAATCAGATGCAAATTGATATAAAACAACGCTAAATTATGCGTTCCAATTATATTATGCGTTCCAATTATATTAGAATTGATCACAATACTACTTATATCAATCATCAAATACCTTGCAATTTTTCTTTAACGCAATTCTAATTTAAGGAAAAAAAATTGAAAAAATAATTTATAAAAACATTTCCTACTTAAGTAATATTCCCTATTGAAGGGATATATGCAAATATCCACTTACTTCCTTTTGATGCATTCGATAAACGGCGCTATGAATCTCAGCATGTCGTACAAAAATTGATATTTTTCCTGAAATTAATTTCTCGATTATATTTTGGAAAATTTCGCACAATTTCATCTTTTTTAAGTCATCAAATACCCTACAATTTTTTTTTAACCCAGTTCCAATTTAAGAAAAAAAAAAAGTTGAAAAAATCATTTATGAGAATCATTTAAAACATTTCCTACTGAAGTAATACCCTCTCGCGCTCGAAGAATATATGCAAATATCTTATCTTACTTAATTTGCACGAAAACTCGGTGTATGCATTCAACCCAATTGCCCTTCACAGGGAATATCTCTCGATCTCTAGCACATCCCAATCTGATATCAGTCGTCATACTATGCTGGTTGCCACTATCTTCACGTCCACAGTTCTTATGTATCCTTTTTTTATTTATTATTAAGTTATGGTTGTATTAAGAATCTTTTTGTTTCGATTACATGCCTGAATATCATTTGGTTATTTCCAACGAATCGTTTTTTTTTTTTTTTTTTTTTTGAGGTATGTTGTTGAATAAAAATGCATTGATTCAAGTTAATCAGCCATTTATTGTTTTTAATTGCTATTAACAGAATTAGCAATTTTTTATTGTTGTGATACCAATTCATTTGAATCATTTTGCAGTAATTATGTATTACCACTTTTCATCGTTAGTTATTAATATATTAATTCTGTTTGATTTCTGTTTTGATTAAAAATTCTGTTATAATTGTTTGAAATTGTTGAAGTTAATAAAATGTTAATAGTGACACAATTTCACCACGTATATAATTTTTGGACTACACATAGACTATGTTTAGTTATTAGGCTTCTGTTATGCTTGCTAATATGCATTCTATTGGACATCTGTGATTTTAAAAGCTTTTTCACGTGACTTTATAAATTTTGACTGCTTACATAGCTGTGAGATCGACAGGAGACACAAATATTTTCAAATACTCACATATAGCGTGGTATATCAGTACTATATTCCCTCAAAATTTTTTACATTAACGTATCACTTTTGTTCAGCTGAACATGTCAACAGAAAATATTTTCTAAGCTAATATCTTCAAAGAATGATTGCTGGTTTAGAAGATATTTCGAAAGATGAAAGTGTCTGGTTTTGGTACACTGAAGAAGCTACGGTTTTTTGGTAGTTTTGATATGATGATTACTTCTGCAAATTTTGGCTTAAATGTTTTTATTTCGCAGTTGAAGGAAATGTTATTTCAAGTAGCAAATTCAAGTTGCAACCACCAAGCGGTCATAGCTTGCCACCAAAAGGTTATGACTCAGGTGTGAACTATTATCAGGCTCCATCAGGACACGGCAACGTTGTAGTCAATGAAAATAGTGAACGTTTACAACTTCTGAAACCATTCAATCCTTGGGTTGGGAAGGATCTTGAAAATATGTTAATATTAATTAAAGTAAGTTAATCCAGTTTTCATTTTAGAATTTCATTATCTTCATGATTTAACTTTCGCTCTTGGTATTTTAAAATTCAGGTAAAAGGAAAGTGTATAACAGACCATGTCAGTGCTGCTGGACCCTGGTTGAAATTCCGTGGTCATTTGGATAATATTTTAAATAATCTATTCTTAACTGCTGTCAGTGCGGAAAATGATGAAATGAAGAAGGTAATTATAGTTGTTGAGTACTGGTTCGAAAAGATTTGATAATTAAATTTTTCTTCAAAGATTTTTGTAAACCGACAACACTCAATTTCAGGACTTTATTTATTAGATTATGGGAAAGAATTTTTAATTATAGGTTCGCAATCATTTGACGGGCAAGTATGATACGGATCTCAAACGGCACGTCACTATGAGTCGGAAGGAGTAGCTTGGGTAGCAGTGGGTGACGAAAACTATGGTGAAGGCTCATCTCGTGAACATGGCAGCTTTAGAACCTAGACATCTCGGTGGACGTGCAATTATTGTAAAAAGCTTTCTCGGATTCACGGTAAGTATTTTACATTTCAGTTCGCTGTAAATTTAATCTGGAAAGAAAATATTTAACTTATTTGGCTTTTGCATTGTCAAGAACCTTTTGCTTCACCACAAATAACAAGATTTTTGAAACCTTATCGACCGCTTTTAATATAGTCACATAATACTTTAAAACGTATAATGATTGTTTCAAACCCCATTCAAATTTTGTTGTCTTTTTACTTTAAATTAGCTTAAGTATTTTGATTTAGTGGATCTTACATAGGAGGCAATAAATTCCTTATAAATTGAGGTTGAATATATCAGGTGTTTTCAGTTTCTGAAAAGCGTTTGCTGATCCAAATGATTTACAATAAAGTTAAGCCAGATGACAAGATATCAATTGTTGGTTTGAATGATTTTGCACCTGGCAAGGTTGTTCTCTTTTTCTTGTAAATTCTTTATTCAACACTATTACTTTTGTCTTGTTTTATTTTAAGATATTAGTTCCTTATCAGGATGTGAAATTATACCTACATAACGTATGTGATTACGCATTAAAAAATTAGTTGACACTGTTGATGGTTCCATAAAAATTTCGAGTCTTGAAGATTTGGTTTTTTTTTTAGCCATTAAAATGCATATTGAAACACGCTGATGGTAAAAAGGAGGAGATCTGGCTATCTCACAGTTTTAATGCGGCTCAAATCGATTGGTTTAAGGCTGGCTCAGCACTGAATCATATGAAAGAAATGAAGAAAAAGTGATTCATTTCATGTTTCTATGGCAGGAAATAGAAATAAGATGAAGAGATTGGTGATTGCTCTAAATTTTAGCGAATGATTAAGTTATAACATTTGTCCGCATATTTAGTTCACTTTTGTACTAATTTTACTCCCAAAATTTTCTATCTCATCTTCATATTTTAGTATTTCCAAAACAAATAATGATTGTCCAAAGTGATCTTAATGCGAACGTTTATATCAGCTAGTTTCCGGTGATATTTCCTTATTTATTGCATTTATTGGAAGAAATTAATTTTGGAAATCGACTTGATAAATTAGAGGGAGAAGACTTAATCGATATTACTTCTGAATTTTTCAGGATTGAGTGACTGGTCTGTGTGTAAACATGAGATGTATCCCTTATTATATATTGTATATCTTAGTGATCCTCTGATTTTGTTCGATTTCTAATTCTTGTGATAAAATGTTCAAGTCAGTATTTAGTAGGATTCTTTTGTGCATGTTGATTGCAGTCATTTTGGATAGTTGGACGGTCTTGATACTTCCCGTTTTTGTTTGTAATGATTGTACTGTTCATAATTCCTCATATACATTAATAATAATCTCATTGATTTCAAGTTTCTTTTGATGTTTTTGCATTTCAACATTTCAGAAGCATCAAATACTGGAAGAGAATTTTCGGAAACACAAATTCTTGTGGATAGTTAATAGGTTTGGAATTAATAGTTCTCTAAACAAATTACGATATTACTTCTGAATTAAAAATTAGAGGTTAGAGAGAAAGAAAACTGAATCAAACTGAGTACAATTATCGTTTCTCATCCTAAATAATAATTTATGATGCATTTAAATGCGTGTTCGAAGTTATACTGAGGAGTTTTATTTATTATACAGTGATATACAGACAGCAAGCGAATCACAACAAATGTATATTGCTCGTTAGGTGAATAGCATCTAATATATTTAATTAGTGAATAGCTAGCTATGTTCAGGGATGGAATTTAAATTCATTTATAGATTTTGATTTAAGAACAATTGAAGCATGGGTATAGCTAATAATATTTCCTTATTGTAGTCTGGGAGAACTCTTCAAAAATACTAAATTTTTCCAGCATTATGAATAAAATTATATGTGAGATTCAAAATTTTTATTAATAGTAGAGTAGAGAGTGTGCTAAATTACTTCAGATTAAGATATTTTGTTGTTTTGGAATAATATCACATTAAGAAATATTTGTCAATTCGTATTTCCTTACTTTTCATCGAGTTCAATCGAGTGGAAAAAAAATGTATAATTAGGAACTAAGTAATTCATAACTTTAGCATAATCCTATTGATGTACCCTTATGCTAGCCATTTTCTGAGAAAAGTTTGATTCTGAGTTCATTGCACGAAAATGTAAACATAATTAATCTATATTACACGTTCAAAAACAAGACAGCAGGCCTGAACTGAACAAAATCAAAATTTCACATCAGAAAATCACCAGTGGCATAAATGACCAGTCGAAAAAAAAAAAAAAAAAACCGCGCATGACTAATATATATGAAATTTTATAAGAACTAATTTTGCCTTTAATTTTTGCAGCTTTTCTTAGCGAAAAATATACGAGATCGAAAGAGAATGGGAAGGGATGATTAAAATGAATGAAGAAGATGAAAAGTGATAAAATACTTGAAAGAAAAGATCTCAGATTGAAAGATTTGCCTTTATTACAAGATAATGATGAAATAATTTCCTCATAAATTCCTGAAATATTTTTCTAAATGAATATGAATAAAATTAAAGTTTTGTAGCTTCTTATCCCAGTATGCATTATTATTCTGCTCTAAATCTCATTTCTCTGACAAATTGACTAGAACTTTAAAAGTGGGAAATTTTTAATTCAATATTCTTATTAAAAATTTTTCCTTGTAATTTTATTCGCTTCAATTTGTTAGTTTTGTCATTTTTTTTTAAAAAAACTGAACTGCAATAAGTGACAATTTGAATTTTCTGTCCTATAGGAAAGAAATATTTTTTGCTTTTTCTTTTTAAAGTGTTATCAAATACCATTTTTTTATTAGAAAGGATGACTGTATTCAGCGATCGTTTCAAAGAACTTTCGACGTTCACTCACTGGAATAATCATTGAACGTCGTAATTCACTGGCTAAATAATTGGTTGTCATCTCACTTACTGGTATCGCTGGATTGCTATGGAATCGAACATCTTAAATTTGATTACATAATTCATTTGTTAACAATAAATGATTATAGAATAACTGTTACAATATATATTTTAAGTTGTAACCGTTAAGTTAGACAGTAAACATAGCAATTCTCCATTAAAAATTTAAGTAA